TGTTAAAGAATCACCCTGACTTTCAAGGAATGAAAGTGGGAATATTTATATTACTTTATTGTGGCTTTCATTTCTTACAAAGTCAGATTGCTTTTTAACTAGCAGCTTTCTTTTTCAGCCAAAGTTTGTGGTTTTGGGTGCATCTAACTGAAGTCTTTTATTCTCAATTATCATCTTCAGTTTTTCAGTTTAATTTCAGCTTAATCTCATTTTGGTTTGGTCTTGTAAAACTGGCTCATCAAACACCAATTGGAATATACTGTTTTTCAGTATCAGAAATGGATTTTTGAGCTAGGGGACTCTAATGTAATTTGTAGAAGTTCTAAGGCTATTTCAGTACTAGAGGTCTGAGTATGCACTTCTTTTTGTAGATGAGTATTTACTCCTGATCTTAGTGCTTAGGTTCTTGTAGCAAGAACTGGTGATGAATTTCTTGTGCTTTTGGTTGTAGAGCTTTTTTTCAAGACAGTAAGTGTCCACTCTATCAGCTCCTCAGAAAGTGATTAACTACATTTTTTCCTAGGGTACTGATTTTACTTCCCTTTTACCTACTGGATTCTTCTTCCAGCCACTGATTAACGAGTTCACTTGAAAAAAATAAAACAAAACTTTACAACAGGTGTGATATAACTCAGGTTGGATATTAGGAAAAATTTCTTCTCTGAAAGAGTGGTTGGGCTCTGGAATGAGCTGCCCAGTGAGGTGGTAGAATCCCTGGAGGTGTTCAAGAAATGTGTAGATTTTGTACTAAGGGACATAATTTAGTGGGGAAATATTGTTGGTAGGTGGATGGTTGGACTGGATGATCTTGGAGGTCTTTTCCAACCTTGGTGATTCTGTGATTCTATAATGGATGTTAATCAACAAAAAATTCCAGTTGTTTATATTTATCTGCTGCAATAGAATTAAAGTATCTCTTCACTTTTGTTTAGTGAGTTCTTGATACTTTCCTTGTCATCTTGACTCTTGCTAAGGGATTTCTAGTATCTCTTTCCTGTTTCTGCTTTTCCATTCTTAGTTGATTTACAGGTCTTCTTGCTAGTCTATGCTTGGTCCACCATAACATGTGGTTTAAGATATCCAAGATGTCTTAAAACTTTTTACACAGCTGATGGTGCACCTTCCTCTTTTCCTATGGGAGAGGAAGGATTTCTACTATGTTCCTTTAAATATTTTCTTCCTCTATCTCTTCATTATCTGTAAACTTATTTGGTAATTATAAGGTCATACATGCCAATTGGCACTATTATCAATAGAAATTTACCTGTCAGCTCCAGAAATTTGATGTGCCAATACATCTACCTTATGTTTCTGGTTATAGGAGATCATTCATACTCCTGCTGGTTTATTTTCTACTTTGGAATCTAAAATTAAACTTAAGTCATTATAAAACATGCCCAGCAGTCTGTGGATGTACATTATAAGTCTGCATTCCAGCTCAGATTTCTGAGATACTTTCTGCAGAGTCGAAAGCCCAGGCAAGACAACCAATCTTCCCTGTGCATCTTTTCATTGCCTTCAAAACCCCATTAGACAGTCGATTTACTGTGGACTAGTTCTCCATCATTCGGTTGATTTCTATTGTGAGCATATTGGTCACATTTAATACTTAGTAAGGTAAGCAAATTAAAAGTTAATTTGGGAGTTATTTCTGAACAATGGTGTTCATTTTAAATTGGAAAATTCTTGTGCTGCATTTAATTAGTGGATGTTTTAAGCTCATCAGTAGTCAACGGTATTTGAAAATTATTTCTACTGATCCATATCCACATAAAAAGTTGCATTTACCCTCTCTGTATTAGATTACTGCATGGATTTTATCTTAGTCTTCCCTAAACCATCCAGCCTCTGAAAATTAATGGAGAGAAGGAATCAGGTAGTTGACAGGCCAGAAATACCAGCCTGGAGTGTGGGGGCTTTCATGGTTTTGAATGAAAAATTTCACTGCTTTTCAGATCGCTAAGAGATGTTTTAACCTTAGCAATTATTTTTCTAAAAGTCAATGACACCATGAAAGGGGCCAGAAACTTATTTCTTTGGACAATCATAAGCAGAAATTGCTCTTGACCTTGACATTTATAGGGTTCCCAAAAATCAAGGGACTTGCAGCTAGAGGTTATATGAATCTCCAGAGCAATCCTGCCAAAAGTTCAAAAAAGATCCAAAACAGCATTAATCCATGATTTCATTGTACATGTCTAATTGTTTTTCCTGAGAGTCCTGCATGTTTGGCAGTTAGCTTTGTAACACAGAGATAACAAGGGCTGTAAATCCCTGAGCAGCTATTATTGCACAATCAAACTTCATAACTCATGCATCCCTCTCCTGGAAATGTAGCAATATACTGTTAAAGTCAGGAAAAAAAATAAGATTTGGGGCCACGGTATTTTGTTACAAGCTGTACCGACAGTTGAGATCTATTTGTGAGAAACGGTTAGTTAGGAAATATATGAATAAAATACCTATCAGTATATGTAGTGTACTCCTTCCAGTGTTACTCAGGGAAGTAATTAGTTCATCCCTGAAAGTAAAAGCAATAATAATTTTAAAAATTGTAGTTTTTTCTAAACAAAATGGCTGACAGAAATCAAATTGTCCTCCTAAGAAATAATAATTATAAGTAGGATTAGATATATAGTTATAAATAATATGTAGAATTTGCTTATCCATATTTGAAAAAGAAAATATAAAATCTAAACAGCTGCCATGAGAAGTCTGAGAGTGATTGGGAAATGGAAACCTATTTCCTGATCAGAGACTAAAGACAGAGACTGAAAGAGAAGGCAAAGGCACTCTCAACATAGCAATGCTATTAAGCAGCATTTAGGCACATGCATAATGGAAATTAAAGGACAACAGTGAAACAGAGCAAATGGCTCCTAGCTGAAGCTGAATGCACATAGGCTGGATATTAAGCGAAAGTTTCTAACCATTAATGTTATGTTGGCACGGAGTAGAATTTCAATCTGATTAGCAGAGGCATAGAGGTGAACCTGTGAGAAAAGGCTAATTGGCTCGAGAGCATTCGTCTAGCTCTGTATGTTTAATTCCCGTGTGTGGCATGCCTTAAATAAAAACAAGGCCTGTACACTTACTGTCAAAGGAAACATAAAATTTGGAAAGAGTAGCAAGTAGCTCAGATTTCTTGCTGAGATTTCCAGTTCCCTCAGATGTTGTCATCCATGGTACAATTTCACAGAGTCCATCCATTTTGTGCATCTTTATGAATCTGATAAAAAAGAAACAAGCTAGCTATTACTCAGTTAAGAAAGTGTCTTCATACATTAAAGATCCAGTGGAGACTGTTTTTGATAGCAGGAGGTAAAACTGCACTGTTCTGCATGGTATTTACTTTCACCAGCCTGTTTCCCATTTTCTCTCTCAGAAGCCATTACTTTGGTAGCATTACAACTAAGCCGGTGCATCTGCACATTTTAGATGGCAAAAAATCTTTTGGCTTTAGTCCACTATAGATTATCATAATCAATTTATTCATGCTTTTTCACAAATTCACGTTCGAATTTGTTAGAGATCATCCTTTTTCCCCAAAAAGTACATTTTAAAAATTCTGTCGAGAATACTTGGATGACTCTTTGCTGAGAAAACTTATCTGAATCTTTGCAAGGAATATAAAACTCATAAGCTGGAAATCATCTTTCATTAAAATACATAGCAGCCTTACAGACATGTTTTCTTTACAGCAGTACCCTCAGTATTTCAGTTTTTATCACCAAGGAAGACTAATCATTTTACTGGCTCAATAGGAAATGGAACACCATTTTTTTAATACTGTTCTTCAAGAATTATTATTGTTTTTTAAAAAATTGAATTTGTTGGCCACAAACTTAGCATCCCAATCATATTTTGGCTTTGGATCTGTTGCGGAGGTTATCTGTTTCTTACATGATTGTCCCTGCAGGTTGTATACCATAGAATTGCATGCTACCTGGATAGTAGTTTTTCTCAGATCCAGGATTTCAGACAGAAGCCCTTTATTCCCTGCAGCTGTCTTTCTAAATTGGCTCTTTCAGTTTTTTAATGATGACCCGATACTTTTTGAGCTATGAGCAGATAACCTCTCCAGAAGGTTTGGCAGGAAGGCTGACGATTAATTACAGGGAGAATTGAACCAGGTTCTCCTAAAAAATAGCTTCTTATGACAAAGCCATTACCTGCTGGCAACATTTAAATTCTCTGGTCACAGCTTCTAAAGCCAGACGAGATCAGTAGGTCACTGTGCCCATCTCTCTCAGTAAAGCAGACCATTACATTTCATGCAGTTACCTCTGACCTAAGCCTTGCAACTCATACATGATGAAAATGTCCCTAGAAGAAGAGCACTTCTAGATCAAAAAACAAAACAAAACGGTTTTTGGGTGGGTTAACCATTAGGAAAACTGGACAGTGCTGCCAGCTTGAATCTCCTTAGTTGATGTGATTCCATTCACTGGTTTATGTTAGCCTCTATTTTCGGTTTGATCTCACATTCCAATGGACACGCCTGTATCTGTAATGCCCATGACTCCAACTATGGCATTTGCTTATAAACTACATAAAATAATACCCTTCTGCATGAGACACTTCTTTTGTGAACAGGCAGTTCAGTTAGAAAATGTATGCATCCACCTTAAAAAAGTCAGAAAGGCAAAGCAAATGTACTGTGCTGGGAAAAATAACAGGAACTGTTGGTAAACCCTACTTGATAAGAACAGCACGATATGAAAAAAAAATGCATCTAAGTCTCAACTGAAGCTTTCCCTTTGCTATTATTAGTATGTGTCTTTTTCATATCAGAAACATGTTTCTGTGAGCTTCTGAAAATGTCCATAATTGGTAAAGCCAGCACCAATTTTTTTTTTTTTTTTCCATTTTGGGAAGGGCATACCTTGAAAATGTCTGCAAGAAGGACAAAGAGATGCATAGTACTGTCTTGCTTTAATCATTTAGGGACTGTCTTTTTGTCAAGTTAGAGATGAAATAAGTATATTATTATTTTTCAGCTGACATTGAGAAGGTGGAAGCAGCAATGCAACCAGAGTCCTGTTTCTTCATTTTGAAGTAGAGAGGCAATCTTGCATCATGGATGAATTTATTCCTTTATAGATGGTAGGCAAGTTTATTCATAAATTATCGTTGTTCATATATGTCAGCATCCAGAGATGTTCAGTTGTAAATGCATGTTAGAGGTGTACTTTAATGCTCGAGATGTGGCCTTTCTAAACTCTTGGGCAGGTTTGTTAAAGTAAATACAAAGCTTTTATCTCTCAGAATTTCAGAGGGCATATTAACCCTTTGCTTGCATATTTGTCAGATGAAAAGTTGCTTGAATTATTTGATATATTTTTTTAATTGTCTCTGAAATACTGACAGTGCTATATATAGCGCAAACAAAGCCAGCTTCCAGGCACCAAAAACTTACGTGATGTATCTTCCATTTGCAAGATATTCATCTGAGCTGCTGCTCAGAAAAATAACATTTGAAGCTGAGGAGCAGCCCATTGCTTGCAGTTTCCACTAAAAATCCCATTAGCGATGGCTGGCATACAAGGCCACTTCTAGAAATAAGAACCTCGCTTGTCTAGGAGGGGATGCCAGATATATGTACATTGTGGCTGCTGTGAGTTACCTAAGTCTGTGTGTTTTACCAAACTGACAGCTGTAGAGCTGGCTAAATTTACCTTTGCATCATGAGTTCAAAGACTATTTGTGAGTGCTTTGAACAGTTTCCTGCAAAAAGCCATTTTTTAAGAAACAATATCGCTCTTGGTGAATGGGAAAATTTCACAGACTTACCACTCTGCTTTCTTCCCATGCCTTCTTTGCTATTTATACATGCCATATATAATGTATACTGCTATAAAAGTCAAGTGTGAATGTGATTTGGGGCAGGAGAAAGCAGCCAGGCTCTGTACTCCAACACCTGCATGGCATTTCCTTCTGCTGAGAGTCAAAACACTGGGCTAGATGTGCCATTGGTGTGATGCAGCAGGGCTTTTCTGATGTTCATATGCTAGTTTGATCCTACAAAACCTGACTTAAAAAGCAATCTTCTATCATATAAATAGCTTTGAGCACTCAGGCAATATATGGTTCTTTAGCTGAGCATAAGAGACACATTTTCAATAGAACAAAATGGGTCACAGTCATTTTTCTTTGAGTCTTTCATTTGACTGAGCCACATGAAGGTGAACGTGCTTCACTGGGTTTAACCAGGAAGCCTGCTTTTGTGTGCCAACCACTTTGCCAGCCATTTTTAAAGATTATCAGGCCAAGATAGCATTATGCAACGATGACACTCTTTTTTTCCAAAAACTAGAGAGAAATAGCGGCATAATTTAATGTAAATAAGAAAGGATTTTAGCAGCAGGTAACCAGCTAAATCTGTTCCACCCTCATGTCAAATTGGGCATCTGGTATAAAAAGAAATTTTTTCGATGAAGAGTAGAAGGCTGTTAGGCCATGGAAAGAAATCTCTTCATGAATTCAGTGCTTCCATGTTGGGATTCAGTAGGAGAGGAGTTTAAGATCAAACTGGCTCACATGATGCACATCAAAGTAGGTTTTTTAAAAAAATAGAAATCATTTCTTAACTCACCTTTCAGAATATACTTCATACAGAAAGTTCTGGATCAGATTCTACGGTCAGAAACTCAAGCTGTTTCTGATGATTGCAAATCCAGTTAAGATTTTTGAAAGAGAGTTTAGGTTCCTATATATTCGTGTCTATGCTAGAGTGGATGCAGCGTGACAAACATCGGCCCAGAAATAGCTGACATTATGAAATAGCTGAATTCAAACCATCTCAGTCTGAGCTCTATCTCTGGCATCCTTCTGCATGAGATGTACATAAAATGGATATCTGAGGCTCATGTACTTCTGACCCTCATTGAAAGACCAGTGTTTGCTCCATGGCTAATCAGTGCTCGAGGTTGTATTCTGTTTACAGATAATCTCCCTACTCTGTGAGCTGCTCTTCCCTTCTGTCACATGAAACAGTTGGGACTAAAACTGCTGAAGCTAGATTGCACTGGTTCTGAAAATCTGAAAGAACAGAAAGGTAAACAGCATCTTAACACACAGCAATCTGGCAACCGGTAGTACATTAATTACTCTGCACCTCCTATGTCTGCATTAAGTTCATTTATTCTTTTCAGAGAAAATAACTGATATGAAGCCTCTTCTTGCCGGTTTTTGTCACACTACACAAAACGGTTTAAATGATTTATATGTGGAAGCTGCTATTAATAGCATTGAATGTGCTACTAATTGGATGGTTATATAATGGCATTGTTATAAAACCTAGTTTGAGTTTGACACCTTCTGTTTTCTGAAAGCCACATAAAAACCCCAAACAAATCCATGGTTACCAGGCAGTACATAGCACAGAGCAAAGGCTAACTAATTACCGATCTATCAAAAATCAAAGATTAAAAAGAGAAAAAGAAGGAAATTCACTTACTTGAACTCTAGTGGAAATGAGCTGGAAGTGAATCACTCAACTGACCTGCTGTTCAAAGGCATTCTTTAAAGTAACTTTCTTTAATATTTGTCCCAGCATATACTGACAAAGAATTCAAAGTGGGCCTGTTTCTGGGACTTGTGAAATCTCAGAAAATTTTGCTATTGAAAAATGGCCTTTGAACGAGATCTGGTATGTACAGAATTATAGTTTAAGAAGAAAGAACTAGCAGAAAGTATCTCTATGACACATACTGATAAAAATTGTATACTAGTATTAGGCATGGATCTGCACTTTATTTTAATAATAGTACAGATGTACCTATACAGCCTGACATTTTTAAAGTAACTTTTTTTTTTTTTTTTTTTTTTTTTTAAGCGAGAGAGAAACAAATGAGTTTGGCATTTTATTCACATCTTTATGGAAGGCTGGAAAATTGCAGTCCATTAGGAGAAAGCTTTTATCTGGAGTGGCCCATTGCAGTCCTATTCTGGGTTGTTCTGAAGGCTGTAGCATCACTGATGCAATGTACTGTACTAGAACTTCCTTGCTGATGAAGCCAACTACTGGCTGCTTGCTGTGAGGATATTTTCCTTTCGATAATCAAACATGGCGGCATACAAAGACCATGAGAAGAAAGCAAAACATTCTCCTACAGTTTTGTATTTATATGTATATAATAGTTACACAGATGAAAATTTGTGGTCAACACTATGTGTTTGTAATGCCTCTCAGTTTAATTTTTGACCATGAAATTACCTCTCAACACGCACTTGTTATTGGATCAGTGTTATCTATAATCTTTTATTGCTGAGGTAACTCAAGGTTGTCTTTCCAGAACCACTTAATGAATCAGCCTGATATGCTCTCATAAGCAAAGGAGCATTACACATGTCTGTCTGTGAATACACATCCTTATATATTTGCAGAGAAATACACTAAGTTGCTTCCAACTGAGTTACCTCTTAAACTTCAGGAAATTAGAAGACAGTAGTAGCAATATGGAAGGAAAGACAGATGTTGCAGTGGCACACGATGTGCATGCAAAGGGATTTAGCCCCTGAAACAGGCAGTGGGTACTGCAGGAGCATGCCCTGTGTTTCAGGAGACAGGATACAGCCAGTGTACAGCTAGATATCTATATGCCGTCACATGGATTGCCTCTGTCATCTGCAGCAGTTGCAGGTAGGACCTTTTGGGTTATGCTCTTTTTCATTGCTATTTAGCCATCCAGAGATACTGAACTGAGCCATGCTGACTCCATCTTATTATCAGCTCAGTGTCATTTTTTATTGCCTGAGTGATAATATCCAGAATATGTAAGGAGGAGTTTACATATATGAAGGAAAACTTTAATTGCTGGATTGTTAAAGCACCCAGAGGAAGTAGTCAAAGGTCTTACAGATTGACAGTGTACCAGCACTGATGTAATTGTGGCTCCATGCCTAAAAAGCTGTGATAACTTAGGAACCAGTGGCTGTACAAAAGAACAAGACATTATAGAAACTGAACAAGAATTTGGGTGGTCCAGATGTCTTCCACATGCATTCTGTCAATTATCAACAACCAGAATCTCTTCTTCAGACTATTAAGCAGAATATTTTGAAATCTCGGGGTGACAAATAATACCAAAATCTTCTGTAACAATATATCAGCAATTTTGCCTACTCCTATGCATCAGGAGAAATACGTTCCTTTTTAAATGCATTTTTTCAGAGGTAGTGTCGTTTGTCTGTGCTGTTAATACTCCTTTCCAATTTCACTTGTACGAGAAGGTTTAGAGCAGCTCCTCAGAGTAGTAATGCTGTGACATGTTTCTGTTTTGGTAGTACCAAAGTGTTCAAACAGAATACAGACAGTTCCTGTCACCCATTTCAGCACAACGGAGTTCATCAGGCAGACAACATTCATCTATAATGCTATGATTTCTCAATTGTCAGTAATCTTGGATTTATAATGGTTTATATTTTCAAAATACTTCAAAAACTTTTAAAATAATTCAAATACTGTCCAAGTCTTTTCATTCTGTCTGTTTAAAATACTCAAAAATATTTGCCAGCTACCTTTAAATGGTTTGAAAATTGGGGATTTAATTCCTAAATTTGATGTCACTTTTTTTTTTTTTTTTTCCCCCTCTGAAATAGGGTGGTAGTGGGTTTTCCACTCTGTGTACTAACAACTTTCTCCAAGATTGATGTCACCTGCACCTAATTGCAATGAAAGTACATCCAGCTACAAGCAGCTCTCTGTATAACCTGCTGATCAGTGTTTTTCCTGTGGTACAACAGACTAAGCTCTCTTGTTGGTAAGTGCATATAGTTATTGTCTACTAATCTCTATCACCATTTTCTGCAGGGTTTATATACTTCATTTCTTCTGCTGGTTCATATTTTAATTGATTCTGGAATTTAATGCTGATGACCAAATTCATGAGAGAAAAAAGAAGTGAGAACTAGAACCTCTGGACAAGGAATTTTCACTGATAAATCTGTAGCCAGCCTGCTTGTTTGCATGTACAAGTAGGTTATGTGTTCGTGAGATCATTTTGATGATATTTTGGGAACCCATCTAACAAAGTTAAAAAAAAAAATTCACAACACCCTGTTCCTAGGCCTTCTGGTATTGTTATAAAAAGGAAGAAACTCTTAGCAAGGTTGTGAATACAGTGACTTCAGGCTGTGAGGGAGAAGCCCTCCAGGCTGTAAAGCTATTTAGGTGCTTTTTTCTTCCTTGTGGTACATGGTCTAGGAAGCAGGAACCACAGATGAAAATTAAGAGCTGAAAAAAAGATTGTTTTCCAATGGAGAAATGAAGAAACTACTTCTCTGTAGGATATCATTCAGGAAATAATTGTTTTTTAATTTTCTTTTAGATTTTTCCAGGTCTTTTTTTTTTTTTTTTTTTTTTTTAATAAGAATGAAAAGATTCCCCAAAATTCTGAATGAGAAAGATTTGCCAGCAATTTGCCAATTGCATGATTTGTCAAATTATGATGGGAAAGCAGGCACCTACATCTTGTATCAGCTGGAAGATAGGGTCTGGAATGTTCACGTATCTCCTTTCACCCAGCTCGAGCTGAACGTGAGCTATGAGAACGGGGCTGCCCCTCTCCAAACTGGTGCCAAGGGAAGGGAAAAAGCTGATCTTAAGCTATGAAGCTCCTGCAGTAAAGACTGTGGCAATATTGTTGCTTTTTTTGGTGCTCTTCTATGGAGGTATGGTAACATGTTGAGAAGAAAAAGGAAGCAGATTAAATAAAAAAAAAAAAAAAAAAAAAAAAAAAAAAAAAAGGCTGAATAATTCTAGTGATCAATGCAAAGTCTGTATTTACAGACAGAATGACTAGTAAAGGTATGCATAAAGCCTAAGTGAAAATACTGCATTTGTCTAATCATTAGCTGGGGGATGAATCACTCTATATTTCATAATAATTGCTAAAGAAATATTTACCTGAGCCAAAGCTTAAATACCATTAAGGAGATGAATTAATTCAGCAGGTTTCTATGCTCTCAATTGGCTATCAGTTTTGCTTGAAATAAAATGATGGCAGCACATCCATCATATTCCACAGTTCCAAGAGAAAAACTTGACCTCCAAGTGTGAAAAGTTCCTGCTGGTTTGTGCAATCTATTTGGTGCTAATACATTGAAAGAGAGCTAGTGCTGTAATCCTGATAAAGCCTCAGGCTGAGTTAAAGAGCTTTCCTGTGATACAGTGCTTTTGAAAGCAGTTTGTAACAACTCTGCAGGAATCTCCAAAACAGGGGCTGGCAGTCCCACCCAGACCCAGCACGCTGCAGGCTCTGAGCTTCTCAGGTTGCACTCTGCACGTATGTGCCCTCAGAGAGCTGTAGCAGCTAATTATTTACTATTTACTCTTTCTAAATAGGCATCCAATAAAGCTACCTGTTAATTCTAATTGCAAAGGAGGCTTACTTGTGCCATTCCCTTCTGTCTGACGAGAGTGATGCTGAGTTCACTCCTGCTTTTATTCCACTTGGTGAAGCACCATTACGTAAAGGTTGCTTCAGTAGCTGTCAGCATAGACTATATTTGGATGACTGTAACAAAAGGCCTGCCCTCCTTCCCTTTCTCTGTAAGACATCCAGTTGCTCATCCACCCTTATTTTGAATCATGATGAGCAAAATAATCACTGAAATTGTTGGTTTTGCCTCACACCTGAAAATGCTCTCATTTGGTCAGATGTCTCACTGTGAAATATTTCTCAGTGTTGCAAGCAAGGAAATACTGCAGGGCTGGGCTGCTGAAAACAGTTGCCCTGAAGTGACCCAGCAGAAGCAATAGACATCGCTGGGTACAATAGGTCCAAGGTATGGCTGGGGAGAAGGAAGGAAGTAAAGTTAACGGACTGATGGGATCATCTTTAATTTGCTTTGTAAACAGAGAACAGGAAAAATCATTACAGTAGTCTTTTGTACCAAGTAAGTGGGGAGAACAAATATCACCTTACATACAACTGATATGTCGTGGTCACTTTGCCAGCTGCGCCCTTATCAAGATCACTACAACAGTAGCTGTTCTGTGGAGCTGGAGATAACAGAGTAAGGAAATGTTGGGAACTTCTGGCACTCTTGCAAATGAGTATAACAAAAGCAAACGAGAAGAAAAGGAGTTTCTTGTGCTACTGATTTACATTTTTCAGAATAACTCTATTGGAAAAGGAAACCAAAACTTCCCTTATTCAAATAGTTTTGTTCCAGTGAACTATCCTTAATTCAAGGCATCTCTTTTACTTTACGTTTTTTGGCCAGTAAGTAAGTGTGTATTTGTTGCTCTGAGTATTCTGAAGTGTGCTGCTTGCAACGTGCACAGAGGTAGGAAATAGCATTCTGACAAAGTTAGACTAGTGTGAAGGCCAGCTGCTTGGAATTTGTACATACCATTACTCTTATTCACTTTTCTCTTACTGTTAGCACTCCCTGCTGACTAGGTCACTAAACCAGTTACTCCATTCCTCCTCCATTTGTTTTTAAAACCTTGTTTTTCTCAAAAGTCTCCCTTCCCAGACAACACTGTCTCAACACTTGCCTATGCACTGATTGTTTCAATATCCTCCCCATTTCTGACCACAACTTTTCTCCCCTCTTCAGTTCAGCCTGCCCAAACTATTGCCATGAAAATATTTTCCATTTCTCATCTCTCTGAGAATGTTGCCCTGCTTCTGAAACCTCAACATTGACCTATTTCCACCCTAAAATTCAAATGTGTTTCTTTTCTCAGCTCTGAATATCTTCATTGCTAGTTAGATTTGATCTCATCTCCTCTCAGAAAGCCAGTCAGTCACCGATGTTGGGAGTCTCTTTGTGGGGGAGCAGGGTGTACTGTAATTGATTTCCTTCTTTAACTTTCTCTACCAGCAGAGTGCTCTGAATCTAAATGTACTGTAGATGAAATTACTCCAGTCACCTCCCTGGTTTGTTTTGGAAGTGCCTGCACGTATTTATAAAACAATCACCAAAAAACATTAAGATTTAGCCCTATGTAAAAAACTACATACAATTTCCACCAAATGAAATGAAGTGCCTTGAACTTTACTGTATGTTTTTGAATCTCCTCTGTCCGTGGTTAGACCAGCCAGGGGGGATTAGTGGCAGTGATACCAACAGGCATTTACTCTGGTGACTTAAGAATGACTGGAGCACATCGTCTCCTTACTGTTCCTCTCCACTCTTTTCTTGTTCTAGATCTTACTGTGATTAAACACTGGATTCGTAAGACCAATGCATGACACTGTGAGTTTGTAGTACTTTGAAGTCGCCTGCAATTTCCATTACCTGTTTAACACAGACTATTTAATGCATGGGGAACACAACAGAACAGAGAATGCCATCCCTGTGTTTTGTATGAATAAGCTTGTGAGCTTTTATGGAATGTGTCAACAGAATGCAGTTAATTCATAATGGTGGTGACATTGAGGTTGTCATAGTCCACTTTACCAGATGCATGTATTTCTTTTGAATTTAGATCACAAGATAACATGACAATTAGGCCTCTTACCACACCAGAAACAAAATGCACATGTTCTTCAGATTCAATCACAACCAAACCAAAAGTAACATCTCTCTGGAAACTCTGGAGGCAGTTACATTTTTCCTTCTTGAGTCCCGCCGACATCCAGCCAGCGAGCCTCAAGGCTGGTGCTGAAATTTCCAGAAACGTTTGGAAAGCAACCACAGAAATAAATTCAACAAACCAAACCCCTGAAGAGCAGTAACAGACGCTACAGAAGCGCACTGGAGCCAGCACCCACTCGTCATCACGGCTTGTCTCCGCTCCCACAGCTTCCACCACACGTGCCACCTCCAGCACAACACCTCCAAAACTGCTGGGCTTTCTGCTCACACTTTGGAGTCCTGAGGCCTCCTGCAGCTCTGCTAGGTTAAGTTGCAATGAACCTAAAGCAGTGAGTGTGTCACTGGGATGATTGATCTTCTTGTATTTGTCATAACTATCTTCCCTGAAGTGGTTTCATTGCTTGAATGAGTGACCTGAGCACTGTCACCCATAGCCTTATGTAGAAAGTCTATAGCCTTATTCAGACAAGATTTCATCGGGCATTTTTTAAAACTGGGGCTTCTGGGGTCTGATTGGATTAATTTTGTTGTTTCTTTTCCTTTACCTTTTCTTGGAGGTGCTTTGTCAACTGGATGCATCTCCCCAGCGTCATAGTCACAACTCACTTCCACTTAGAGATCTCTTTCCCACTCTTTCTTGAAGAAAACTGGGGAGAAATTTAATAATTTAATAAGGCCTAGATCCATGGCTACTTCAGATAAATTTGTAACAGATATTTCTATATTTTTTTGTTAATTTTTTTTCTATATTTTTTTGTTAATGCTGGAAACTTTGAGCAAAGAAACTCTCAAAGTTATTATGCATAAACTATGTTAGTCATCTGATTGGGATGAAAATTCAGGCCACTTTAGTAGCATCTTGGAATCATTCAGATTTAATTATGGACATTAAGATCAATGTTTTTGTTTGTTTGTTTGTTTATGTATTTTTTTTGTGTGTGTGTGTGTGTGTGTGCTTATCTGTTCCTCACTGTACCCTCTAATCACAACATAATAGTGTACATATGCATGTGCACAGTCTGATCTGTAGTTATTGACAGTATTTGAGATATCAGCTCCTGGATCTTGTATGTAGCAAATGAGTGTAGATAATTTACAGTCCAGCGAGGTCTTGAATAACTCACTCCAAGTGCTTGTGAGAAGAGAAGTCAGTCTAGATAAATGATTTCTGTCTTCCTGCTACAGAATACTTTTGAGGTTCATCAGTAACCTTATTAACATGGCTGGTTAAAAATATTGACAGCCTAACACATCAAAGCTTTATCTCAACAGTGCTCACCAGGAGATCCACTGAAAACAGGGAAAGAAAACCCCTTTTACCTTTAGTAGGTACTGGGATATGTCCTTATTCAACTCAAAGGGAAATGGTGATTTGCCTGCAGAGAAAGGTAACTGATAGCAAAACCAGTAATAAACCAGCTGCTAAATGACTGTTTTGAGAAGTGTCCCTTCCTCTTTTTCAAAAACACATTGCAGCTGTGCAGTAATGTTCCTAAGTATTACAGCTTGTAATAGCTTTACTGAAACATTGAAACAGTCTGAACCCTTTCTACAAATCACTGGTGTTTTCGAGCTGGGTGTGAAGATTTACCATGGTACTGCTTCTGGCAGTGGTATTTGCTGACTTTGTCACTGGATCTGAATTCCTGGTTTGGCACCCCACTGATAAGGTCTCAGTCATTAAGTGCATTGTACAGCAACCTTCTGCGTTCCTGTCTCTGTTTTGCTCTTCTGTGTTTCACTCTTCCTTTCTGACTTCCAGTCCTTACTCAATTGAGTAATTCAACCACAGCCTGCAGCATCTCCTTATCCTTTTTTATTTGCTAGTAGTTAATAAATAAACACGCAGCTCAAAATTAAAGTGAATTAAAGAGAAACAAACTTCTTCATAAGTATTATTTTGTTATTCTCAGTTAAAAATGCCCTCAAATGAAGATAAAAAACAAACCATTCAAAGTTCTTAAATGAAACTTGTATCTCATTAGAGTTTTGGTTTTTTTCCTTTCCAATGCAAACAAATTTAAAATTTCATTTTTGCTAGGCCTGTAGTTTTGTTCTTGCCACCAAAAAAATATATATATTTTTTGTCCTAGTTGTCCTGTGGTGCTTCTGGAGGTGGGAGGCAAATGGCCTGCAGTGTCTCCTGGACTGTCAGGAGTAATGCTTTTTTAGGCCAGAAAGAAGACTTGGTCCCCCGCATAACAAGAGCATGACAGAATCACTGAGCTATCAAATCAGTTATTCTGCCAACATCTTTCTGCTTCACTGAAGAGTAAATTAATCCTACATAGGAGCGCTGCAGCAGGAGAGTAAGAGAGAGCACACACATTGCTGTAGTTGAGTAGGAAGGTGCTTGTCGAGAGTGTAAATAATGGATAAATAATTAATTTTCTTTGGGGAACCTTCAAGGATCTACTTCACTGAGTGCTTATGCACACATGGTAGAACAAGTACAGCAAGGGATTGAGCAATAAAGCTTCCCCGTGGGAAGAAAACATGCCCTAAGTCAGACCTCTCAGTGTCTCCATCTTGGCTCTTTCCAACTTGGTGGAGACCTGGGGTGGCTGCAGCTGGCCCCAGTTTCTAGAGATGGCAGCTGGGGGTCTTGACCAGAAGGTGCTTGAGAGGGAGATGTTCCTGCAGAAGGCACAAAGACACAGATTGGACGACAATCAGTGCTTGGAAATGAAAGCATGTGGGCTACATTGAGTGATTCTGCCATACTGACCAGGTGATGCTACCAGAGTTACTACCCGCCAAAATCTTTATTTAGAAAAGCAACAGTTCCAACGAGGAAACAAAAGAAGTCCAAAAAATGGCACAACAGATAACTTAGTGCTGATCTGACATCTGTTGCCTCCAGCTCACTTTGGTCTGCTGGGTTGAGGCCGCTCACGGCAGGAAGAGCAGCTGAGTGTCCCTGTTGCTGCATGCCTCCTGTTCCAAATTAATATTTCTGCGGCAATATGTAAAAGCATTGAGGTCTATCAATTACAAAACAATTTCCTGTGCCAGCTCCTATTAAAGAGCCATTACAGAAAGCTTAGCCTTGACTTTGAGCTGAAGCCCCCAAGTGGATCTTTCTGGGAAGAAACTGTTATTTCTTCCCATGGGGAACTTTCCCCTTCTGCCACCTCAGAGCGCATCTTCCCAGCACTGTCTGCCGTTACTCATGGAGAAAGCGTGGATCATTTCATATCCAAAGGTAAAAAAGCAGAAGTGCACCCCTTTCAGACTCAGCAGTCACAGTACTTTAACAGCCAGCTAATGCAGTGCCAAACCATTACAGTGAACTGCAAACCCAAATATCTTATCTTGTGTGATTTCTTACTGTTGATCCTCTTGTCTGTTCTTATACCTCTTTGTTCCCGTATATTTGTGTGATATTCTGATTAACCTCTCTCCATTTTTCCCACTGTCTCCATATATTCATATTTCTATCCACTTTCACATTGATCATTTTTGTTCCTGACACCAATAACTGTTTGACCTTCTTTCAATTTCTCTTTACTTACTCCTTTTTCTTAAAATAACATTTTCTGTCTCTGTTCCTGTCCTCTTCCTTTGTTCCGTTTGTGATTCTCTATTCCTATTACAAAACTCATTTACTGTCCTTTTTCTCATTTCTCACTACACAAGTAATGTAACTCCATCAGCTACAGCCCTGTTGCACTGATTTCCCCTTTCTATCTGCTGTCTAGCATCTTTCCCTTCCTCTCTCCCACGCAGCACTTTTCCTTTCTATTTTGTTTCTAGTTCAGAATCTCTCCTCTGACTTTCCCACCGTACTTTTACCCATTGCCCTCTCCCTGCTGATCGTGTTAGCAGAAACGTTGAAATTTGTTGTCTTATTGCACAGATCTCAGCTTCCTTCATCCCCTCCTTGTTTGTTATGTCAAGCCCACCACCACTCTCCTGGTGCAACCAGAGCTGGGTGTCAGGTGTTGTCCATGCAAGCCTCTCTAGAGCAGCACAAGACAGAGGGACTTTTATCATGCTGCTAAGGAGACCATTGCTCGCCAGTGAGTTCTGCCAACCTGGGTTCACATTTTGTATCAACAAGATTTGTATGCTTTATTGATCAAGTTACAGTTCATTGGCTTTATTGTCATATGCACCTGTAACCGCATCAGTGTTCACTGTCACTCACTTTGGGGCAGTAAAGCTTTGCCACAGGAATACTTGAGAAGGACCATGGGCTGCCATTCAAGACCATCTGGTACTAAACAGTATTTCTCTAAACCCATGGTTACCTAGGTATCAATCAAGGCCGTTTTCTATCTAGACCTCTGCTGTAAGTGGCCATTCAATTTGTCCACAAGCTAAATATACAGTACTCCTAGCAGAGCTCATAATGAGTGCACATGAATGACCTTTCAAAAGCTCTCTAACTCCTTCAAAACACAAGCAGAGAGAAAGTCTGTATTTGCGAGATCAGAAATAAAATGAAAACCTCACTTTGGTGAATAAAAAAGCCATATACAGGAAAGCCCTTGATGAATAGCATACTTTTAACAAAAATACCATTTCCTTTGCCACAATAAATGTTGTTTCAGATTCTGAAATTAAGTGCTTGTTCCACTGGGCTGTAACATTTTGTTAAGCTGCAGAGACGTTAGAGGAACAGCTATTCCATTTCTTACAGACTTCAGCTATTTTCAATTCTCTTTTAATATTTCTTTTTCTCTGGAGGAGAGAAACATGTCCTAGGATTTTCTCTAAGCCTTTTTTGGTTCATTATGGAGATCTGACTTTCTGCGTCCACTAAAGCAACCACAGATGAACTACTTTTGCAGCCTTAGGGAAACCTGAACCTGGAGCCAGCTTTTAGAATTCACTGACAGGCCCAGGTCCTTGGCTGCCGTGGCAGAGGCTCTGCTCCTCTCAGAAAGTTTGGTGAATTTATGGAGGACTTAAGTAGCAGCTACAAATCATGGTTCTGTTTCAGCTCAAGAGTGAACTGCATTTAAGGGAGCATTGTTGTAACAAGAAGAAAACTTCCCAGCTCAAGTGTTTCCAAGCTATTAATCACTCCCAAGTATCTGTCCCCCTGGAAATTCTCCAAGTCCTTATGATACTGCTCTTGTAAACAATTATTTTCTTTCCTGAACTCCTGTAATAAAATTCATACTGGATATTGCTCTTAGGACACCTTGGCTCCTTCTCAAATTTTTTTTTTTTTTTTTTTTTTTTCATGTTGGGAAGTGGAAGAGAAAGATTTTTATTTATTTATTTATTTTTTGTCTAGATGGTGCACCTTTTTAATATCATTACTAAACAGAACTCCAACAGAAAAAGAAAATGGATGGACTTCAGTAATTTCTTCTGAACATTTTTTGATGGCACAGTCACAACAGATACTTTGGCCAAATGTCTGTTGTCAGGATATACTGTTAGAAAAAAATGATACAGGACAGGGGAATACACTTTATTTTTGAGTGCCTGTGAATACATAGATCAGCAGCCTGCCGGACATCCCCCTGTAAATATGCACATCGTCAGACAGCCCTGGGGCTTCAGTCCTGCTGATTGTGTTATTTATGGAGATGAATACAAAATTATGCATGACTCACATGTTGCAGTTTTGTTCAAGGGTCTAAGAAATATCATAGAATCATAGAATCACAGAATGGCCTGAGTTGGAAATACGCCTCTGTTCCTTGTGATATTTTGTGCATATTCCCTTCACCGATCTGACAGTAGTTCATTCATTTGCTGTTATAAACTGAGACATCTCCCTGTCTTTTTGTACCGGCATCCTGCACACAACTCTCCCCTGAAGAGGAACTGGGGAGTAAATGTTTGCTACTGGCTCCCCATTTTCACAGCCTTCCTCTATCGCTCCTTTACGCCATGAGTGCAGCCCATTTCTACACGATACAGCTGCCTTGCTAGGAGGAAAACTGCTGCTGTGCACAGGCTCACACATTCACATTGCGTGCACACGCACATCCCGCATTAGCTGAGGGAAGAGCTGCCAGATTTTTAACTCTTCCTATGAGGTCTCAGCTGTGGATCCTAATGGAAACCTGCATGGCGTGTGTCCCTGCTGGCACGCCAGCACAGAGTGCTCTGAGCTGCTTGCCTACTCCTGTGCTGCAGGCTGCCCGCTACAGCGCGGCTCTGGCTGTAATGCAAGCTGACATCTCCAGTGCACTACATGTTTAAAGCACTGCACAGTGCTCATTCCTTAATGCACCTCCACTATGTATAGCAGACAGGAACACACAGCAAACCACATGAGGTGCCTGGCACAGAGCACCAGCCATGCCAGGGCCTGGGCCAGGAGCATGGCTGCGTCTATCAGCATGTACCTGGGTGGCGGGTGTGTAAATGGCCACATTTGGGATGGCTTTTAGTCAAGCTGTAACGATTTCCAACTCGGGAGAGTGTTTTTGGGCTGTGAAGAATGCTGCAGTTACCACCATTAGCAGTTCTTCACCTGCTGCTGCTGCTTTGGCTTTAGATTATTTTGGACAGGAAATCTTGGGGATGAAATGAATACAAAACCAGACACGTTTATACTTCGGGCGCAGAATTTCCCATGCTCAGATGCTTTATCCCAACAGCATTTTCAGCAAGGCTCTCAGTGACATTACAGGAACAGCATTCCCATCCTTCCAAGCGAAGCACAGTGCGGACTCCTCGCACAACCACGTTCGGACCCTCTGGGCTCACGCGCGGGTCGTCCAGCCCTCCTTCGGCGCTCGTGGCGGCCGCCAGCTGCTCCGCGCGGAGCTACCCTTCCCCGCCGCAGGAACGAGCCCAAGGTCAAAGCCCCGCGGCGACCGCTCGCGAACGCACGGCTGCCTTTTCCTCCGCCCGCAGCACGCAGCCTCGCGCCTGCAGCGTTCCCCACACGCCCTCCCCGGACTGCGGAGCCCCGCGCCCGCCGCCCCTCCCGCACGCGGCCGCGGTGACGCCACGCGACGGCGAGGGGCGGGAAGGATGGGGGGGGGTCGAGGGAGGGTCTCGCGGTCGCGCTTCCCGCCGGCTGCCGCCGCGCGCGCCCACGAGCACGGCCGCCCCCCCGCCCCCGCGGGGCGGTTGGTGACGTCAGCGGTCGCCGAGGAACGGGGCGCAGGTGCATCCGTTTCCTCGGGGCCAGCGGCGCCGCCGCTGTCCCCGGTGCGGAGCGGGAGGGGTCGTCCCCGCGCAGAGCGGTTCCCCGAGCTCGGTGGCGGGAACCCCCGCCTCGCGGCGTCCCCGACGGGCGGCGAGGCGGCGGCAGAGAGCCGCGACGGGGCGGCCGCGGCTGGCGGGCTCGGATCGCTAGGGGGAGGCACGGCACCGGGAGACGGGGCAGAGCGAGGCGCGGCGGCCCCGCTGCCCGCGGGGAGGGGAGAGCGTAGGGCCGAGGCGCCCCGTCACCGGCGGCTGTGCCGCGCCCCCCCGCCCCGGTTTTGCTTTCCCTTTCGGTGCCGCCTCTCCGTCGCAACATTTTTATTTATTTATTTATTTTCCCAGAGGGTGGGGACGAGGGGAGGGGAGAGCCGAGCCGCGGGGACGAGCCGCCTGGCGGGGAGGAGGCGGTAGCCCCGTCACGAGAGGCGGCGGCGGCGAGGAGGAGAAGCCGGCGCGGAGCCTCGCCTCGCCTCGCCTCGCCTCGCCTCGCCCACCGCACGGCCCCTCTGCCGCCTCGCCTCCCCTGGCCGCCGGACGCACCGGCGGCCGCCCGTCCCCATGATGGCCTCAACCGCCACCTGCACCAGGTTCACCGACGAGTACCAGCTCTTCGAGGAGCTCGGGAAGTAAGTACGCAGCCCGCCGGGCGCGGGGCAGCCGCTTCGGGGTCGGGGGTGGGGGTAGGGAAGGACCGAGAGTCGGGGGAGAGAGGAGGGCTCGGTACCCGCGGGAAGGGGTGCGCGGGGCGACGCCTCCAGCCCCGCCTCGTCCCCGGGCGTTGCTTCAAGGGTGAGAGTCGGTCCGTGCGCCCGCGCGACCCCGTGGGTGCGTACAGCCCGGGGGGGCGGCGATCCCTGGGAGTGCTGGCGGGCTCCGGGCGGTGAGGGGCTGCCCCGCTATCGGCCGCCGGAGCTCGCGACCGCCAACAACGGGCGGCGCGTCGGGCGCCCCCCTGCGGCGGGGCGCGTATCGCCGATCGCCATGTTGGTGCGGGCACTGGGAGCGGGACCCGCTGCCGCGCCGCCCCCGGCGTGTGCTCCCCCGGGGCCGTAACGTGCCGCTTTCCTTCCCGCCGCGCGGCCGTGGTGTATGCCGGCTGAGGGCTTCGGTCGCACGGCTCGAACCAGCTGAGCAGCGCTTTGCTGTTGCGATGAATAAAATCGACGTTGACCGTCTCTGAAAAGCCTCCCTTCTTCTTATATTTTTTTTTTCCTTATTATCCTGCCCCCTCCCCCCTTAATTCTTTGGGCATCGCGCCGCTCCCTAAGAGTGGCAGCGCGGTGGTAATGGCAGGGAGCTGTTCGGGTGACACTGACGCTCTGTCCCCCTTTTGGCTTGCAGAGGGGCATTCTCGGTTGTGAGGCGATGTATGAAAATCACCACAGGACAGGAGTATGCTGCCAAAATCATCAACACCAAAAAGCTCTCGGCCAGGGGTGGGTATATTCCAACCGAGTGTTTACGATGCCTTCTCCTCATTTCTTGCATTCTTGTGGCGAGCGTTAAAACGGACCACAAAATAATAAGAATTAAGGTTATTAATTTTCTCAGTAGGCTTTTCTTTGTTTCCTTTCAGGCTGTGGTTATTTTTTATGCTAAATGTTTCAGAGGTGTGGAGGTCTGTGACTGTTGCTATACTGTGCTTAAAGGGAAGCTTTATGAAGTCATTTAAATTAGTGCATCCTCTTCCCATTTTTATACTGGAAAAAAAATTAAACGTCAGCCTTGCAAACTGTTTTTTTTTTTAGGGGAAGGCTGGGAAATATGTTGACAGTGCAGCTTTTATCATAAATGTGTGTCTACGCTTTTCTGAATTCAAAGTTTCCGTTACATTTAAACTTAAACGTGAAAATGAAGGCCTGATTTGAATCCGTGGAGAAGAGTGTAATGCGCTATCCTGTACTGAACTTTGCCATGAGGTCCCGGGGAAAGGAAATTTCCCTTTTTTGAAGTATCTGTTTGTAAACTCAGGACTTTCTGAATGATACAGTGTCACTGCTACAGCCCAGCAGTAATGCCTGCTGCACCGCATGCTATAATGTGTTTGTCTCCCTTACATTCTGGCTGTCAGTGGTAAGTCTTTGTGATACATTTGGGCAATCACGTGTGTGCTGTTGTTACTGCTGTTGGAAGCTGTTACTGCTGTTAGAAGCAAGCCTCAATGGAGATATGTCAATTCCTTGTTAAATCCACGTCAAAGGGATTGTAGAAGGATGTCGGGGATTAGGGATTATTCTCTGTTAACATCACTTGTGTTCTGATGTTTGTGATATAGTAAAGAATGTGGAAGTGAATAAGCAAGCGGTGTCAGCTCTAAACATGTCTTTAAGGTCTGGTTTGCTTTCAGCACACATCATTGCAGGTAAACAGCAGTCTGGATTAATTCATTAAATTTGCACCTAAAATACTTCCTGCAACACTAGGGCATATTCTGGTAGCTTGCTGTTCTCTGCTGGAGATCTTTCAACATGGTGTTGATGTTTTCAGCTGGTGAATGGAATATGAATGCTAATTTTTACCTTTTGCTGAATTTTAGTCTTTCTCCAATTTCTGTGAGAGATTTTATTTTTCTGTACTTCAGAATACCTCTTTATAGAGTGACAGATTTAAAAGAAGGGGGATTAGGAAAAAACTAATACTTCAGATAAAATAATGTCACAAATTTGCTTAAATCAAATTTTCCTTGTTTCTTTTGTCAGTGCAGTGACACGACCTGTTGAATTTTGATGCTTAAAACAAACCTCCACATTCTATGTAGTTTTATAGATCTAGCCTTTCAGGTTGAGAAGGTGTAGCAAGATAATGGTCAGATTACTTGTTTGCTCTAGTTTTTACTTATAATGGGATAACATCTTGAAAGGCAGGCTAAATTAATACAAATATTAAGTCTTTCTTAGAAGCCATTATTTGAGACATGCTATTTTTCAGGTTTTCATTTTTGTGCTTCCTTGACTGTTCAGGCAGGACCAAGTTGGTTCGCAGTGTAGCCCGTTCGTGAGGCCAAGCGTGCTGGGGAGAATTTGGCTGATAAGGTGGAATGCGGCAAAACTCACGCAAAGAAAAATTTCTGTTGCTTTAACATGTAAGCCCATAAAGCGAGGAATTGGGTTTTCTAGATTGATAACTGGACCATGAAATATTCTTCCATATCTGAATGAATGTGATGTCATGTCATGGATGCAGTGAATCCATTTCCATCTTGGCTTTCAAAGATTCCAGAAATGTTAAGGTTTTTTTTGGTTTTTTTTTTTTAGTTTATATGCATTGCTGTTATTTAGTTTTTATCTTTCTTTTGGAAGACAAAATAAATAATATCTACTCAGAAGCTTTTGAAGAACAAGCTTCTTATAGAGATCTTCAGATTCACCTTAAGCAATTCTGCTTTTCCAAAAGGGCACTTGCAGTGCCTCTGTCTGTGATACTTTGACATGGCTGATAATAAATATGCAGCTTGCAACTCAGACTACATCTCAAATAATAGTATCTAAATTATAAGTTTCATCCTCCTCCTTTCTGAACTGCTTTATAATGAGGTAGCAGTTCACTGTGGTGTATCCAACTTCTCACCTGAAAACAGGTCATAATATAAATCTGAAGAACGTTGTTGAGTGAGCTTCATCTGTGAGCAGTTAGAGGTTCTCTGCTTGCCATGTATATCCCATGCTTGTCTGTAGCTCTGAAGCACTATGTCAAATTTGAGCCTCTTGCTTGCAAGATGGAAGAGTTGCCTTTACAGTGTTTGATGGGGAGGAGTCAAGGCTGCTAATCCGAAGGAGAACTTAACACAACTTGCATTGAAAAATTATTTAACTGTGTCAGCCTTGATATGACAATAATCGTCACCCCAGCTGCAAATGATCTCGGAGATTGGATCCTCCCCTTAGCAGCCCATCTAAACGCAGAGTTCCTTACGCCAGTGAAGGTGTGTTCTCTTCTGATTCCTTGGTTAGTTGTGGGGAAATTTTGGAGCAACCGTGAGATGGGCTTTGGCTTTAATTTGAAGGGAAAAGGAAGTTTGGTTCTGTTGTGTTTTTACAGAAGCAAATTCTGCGCTTTTAAACTGATGGTCAGTTATTCACACCTGTTCTGATCTTATGCACTAATTTAGTCTACAATGTAGTAAAAACATTTTAAATTATGTTTTTAAGCATTTGGCTTTGTGACACTTTAGATTACACATTTCTCTGACTTTTGTTAGTAGCAATAATTATTTGCAGTTTATATCTCTCAGTATAGCAAGAAGAATTTTATTAGGACATCGTATGTTTGAATGACTTGAACTGCAGTTTTTTCTTCATGTTTACTAAGTCAATGGAAGTATTATGTTGATGTTAAAAAATCAATTGCTTGTTTTGTACCGAGTCTGTTCTAGACAAGCTCACATGATTTAATCGTGCTGCTGATTTAAAAGAGGAAGGAGAAAAGTTCTATTGCACATCCTTCTAAAACTAAATGCAGTAGTGAACAAGTGCGCAGAACACTTAGAATAGGGTGAAGGGTGTGTGTTTGCTGATTCTGGGCTCTGCATTGTTTTGGCTGATGAAGTCATTGGAATTTTCTTATTACTCAATTTCTAAAGTGTGTTGTTTTAGGCTGCTTTGTGTTGTTTTTCTTGTGTAGAAAGAAATGTAGATAAAGGTGAACTTTTCACAAGGTGACTTTTCCCCTGCATGTGCCAAATGCAAAATAATTCACAAATTAGTCGTTTGTCATTATCTTTTATTTTCTTCTTTGAGAGTCTTTTGGCTTTGATCCAAACAAATTTCAGGAACGAAGCCATTTTCTTAACAGGTTTAGGCCTCGTTTTTTGAAGGGGGGGTGGGAAAGGAATCAGAGAAGTGTTAGTTTCTCTAATCATGTTTGCAAAAATCATTTTCTAGTGTTTTTTGGTTAGATGTAATTTTTGCCAATGCTTATTTTGATGTTTGCTCTCTAGTGGTTCCTTGGATGGCAGTCTAACGACATTTGTGAGAATGCTTTTATTTTCTAGGGTGCTTTTGTAAATGCTGCCTGGATGCTCCTCTTCCGGCCCTTTGGGTGCTGCAGGGGAAGTGAGACCTTCTTTGGTTAGGGCATTCCTGTTACTGAAAGGAATACAGGAATCAGCTGGAGGCTAATGCTTGTTTGTCCAACGCTCCCATGATCTTTCATGGTCCAGTCCTCCCATTAGCTTCAGTGAGCTTTTGAGCTATCAACTTTGGAGGCTTCACTGATCATTTATCTTTCTTCTTGGTCAGAAACTTCCCAGGTTGTTTCTGAATCTCCCTGTTTGTCAAAGAAGAGAAAATAGCTGGAGCTCACTGCGCCTGCTGAGCTTATTTGCAGCAAGATGTTTTGGGTGAGGAGGCTGGAGGAAAAAAAACAACCACCCTTTTGGAGCAGTATTTTAGTGGTTGTACTGAGTAATCTTACTGTAGGAAGAGTATTTCTGTGTCTAAGCCTGTCCCTAAAGTGATTTAGATATATATCATGTGTGAAGGGTATAGTGGAGTATTTTTCAATGTAGTTTTCCTTGATATGGAGATAGGATACTTGACTGAGTTGGTCTTTGTCAGTTGCAGCCAGATGTTTTACAGGAATGCAGGATGTAATAAGCCTTCCTGTACTGTACAGCAGAAGAAATTGTTGATAATCTAGCAAAGATTCCTAATCTAACTGAAGATCTTAATTTGGGAGTACACTTTTACCTGTGCACAGTTTTATGATATCTGTATGTATTTTATTGTTGATTTCAGTTCTTAAGTACGCATGAAGTTATTATCACACACCAAGTACTCTCCTTAAGGGCATTTAGTTGTCAGCAAAGAACACTTCAGCTTTGTGAGAGCAAGAATTCTAATTTCTCAGGTTCGTTACATGTCAAGGAGCAGTGTGGTTGCTTTCCTCCATGTGTTGGAAGTATGTTTAAACAAGTTTTTCCATAGTATCAAGAAGTCCTCTGTGCTAATATGGTTGTCCTTTCCCTATGCTTGTGCTCTTTCTGCCTTTCAGGTTAGCCATGATGTTTCTTTCAGTCTAACATACATGTTCTGATTCAACAGGGATACATTTACACATTTATCTGCAAGTATTTGTTATGGTTGTGAATTACAGTAATTTAACAGTCTACTGGCTCTCTCAAATTAAGTTCATTCTGAGAGCTTATATAGTAGTAGAGAGCATTCATGAATGTTATTTAAAAATGGTTAGAAATTCCATTTTGAAGGTTTGGAGCTTTTGTTATCTCTTCTTTCTGATGGAAATCTGGAAAGCTTTCATTCACTGGTGTGAATGAGGACTATGAATTCATTGTGATGCATGTTGGCTAGCAGAAACTTATTTTAACAGTTTAAATTAAATTTCAAAATATTTTTGTTGGCAGTTAGTAGATAATTACCCGTAGCAAGTATTCTACAATTCCTATCATGTCAATATTATTGTTATTATTATTTTGCAA